GCCCCGTTGCTCCATGCTAATGCGTCCTCTTGCTCCACGACGACGCGCTACTCGGTGCTCGCAGGGCGTAACCGAACGATCGTTCCGATCATTAGACCCGTACACCCTTACATGCGACCGGTAATGAATACATAGTTCCAATCGAGGCTTGTACGAACGGCACACGAGAGATAGTGCTCTCGACTCGGTGCTTTTTGCGATGGACGAGGAAGTGGCTTGCAGGGCGAAGATTTCGAGGCTGATTATTCGTATTTTTGAGGTTAGCGAATTTCTTGAGAGATTGTGACAGATGACTTGGCCTTTCACAGGGTTAGAAAGGATAAAAATAGGTTAGGAACTTTTTTACAATTATTGTCAACGTTTGGAAGTACACAATTTTAGCGACAATTGTTGAGAATTTCGTTGAGAAGTGTGGGGGTATTTTATTTTTCGATCAAATTTTCAGAGATTGTTTTTGCAAAATTTCTTCGACCTACCTAGTCTAAACAGGCGAAGAAATGTAAAAGGGAGAGGCACGAAGATATTCCAGTTGTTTGGAAAATATCTCTCACTATTTGGGATAAAGTGGTTTTCGAAAACCGTTGTGATATCCTAATGGTCCTTTTGGTCAAGGGAAACGTAGAAAGATTGCTCGAGGATGTCGTCGAAAAGCATGGAGGACGTCGGCGGATCAAGAAAAGCATGTCACGGTATCGCGAGATAAGAATCGACAGGACCTGCTCGACTGAAGAAACCACGAGGCAAGCTTACCAAACAGAAACCAATACCCTGAAGTAGTACCCGAAGAAAATCAAAGTTTCCAATTGCAAAATTCGAACGGTCGCGAATCTTATTCGTCTGTTAATCGGTGAAGAGACACGACAGATCGTGTTCCAGAGAGAAATGGGATTTATTTACGATATTTACCAGTTGTGTGTAGCGGTGACATCAATGGCTGGATCTCTGGATCGCCTTTGGATCCAGGTATACAATGCGCGCCCCCCCCCTTTTTTTTTGCCTTCCAGTCGTATAGATCTTTTGAAAGGTCCGCACTTAATAGACCCCGGGGACCCGGCGACTTGTTTGGACGTTTGCGGTATAAACAGAGCGACACCTGGTGATCTATGCACTCGCCTCGTCGGGATGAAACGAGCCGAAACGCGAAAGCCCAAGAGCTTGCGACATTCAGGGTGGCCCTGATTCTACAATACAACTGGAAGGATGTCGCGCGACGGACTAGCCATCGCGGAAAAGTCCTTTCTGACGCTACTGGGAGTCGACGGATCGGAGGAATCTCATGTTCTCGAAGTGTCGTTCTATTCTGTGGGTGTCGGGTACAATTCTGCGGTACACCAGGTATGTTATGAGGATTTAACGAAGTCGCGAATATCGCAGATAAGTGTAGCAGCGTGTATGAGTAAAAAATGAAGTCTGTTACGAATACAACTTATTTTGCTCCTAATTTTATTATTACCTGCGAGGAAAGGGGGTAAGCTAATTTTCGTTCAGATTATTGCCAAATTAAAGTTAATTAATCATCATTGGAATAAATAAAATTAGATCAAGCCTACCCTATTTCTATCCCCTAATCATTGCACATACACTGCCGTGCGTAAGTATTAGGGCACCCATTAAGGTCATACGGAAAGTATTAGGTCATTCGTTAAGTTCGCTTCGAATTTTGAAATTTAGATCAATATTTCCATCGAACCTTTAAATTTGATAAAAAAGAAACGTGATCGCCTTCACAACATTTTTCTATTTTCTTTTAACAAGACTATTATGTCGCCGCTGTAGTATTATATTTCCTTGGATTTTCATTAAAATATTTTTCGCTTTCGCCACGAACTTACGGGGTAATCTAATATTCCACGATTTGAATTACGTTTCTTCAGAAAAATCAGTAGTACAATACGAGATTCCAGCAAGCGTCCCAACACTTACGAAAAGTATTACAGTACAAATACCTCCAGCGAGCATCTCGATCGAAAGGAATAAACGGAAGAATAATGGAGAGGCAAAGGGTTTATCCAGGAAATATCGAATGCTCTCGCGACGAAAGGCGCGCGAGCGAGCCTTTCGTAAAATAAGCTATTAAATTCTTCAAATAAGCCGCGGCGGATGAATGCGACCGGCAATTAGGCAAACGTGGCCGGTGTTCATGTAGACGAGATTATTCGATCCCCGGCGAAATCGGGTAAGAACGGGCGGCGTATGCAACGAGGACGAGGCAGAAAAGGAGAGGCTCGTACCGCGTTGCATTCCGTCCTTCCTTTTTCGGCGATCGCCGCGATTTTTCCTCGCCGATCCGCAGGCCTTTTTTCCCTCGCTAGCCGCCGCACAATTGGGAACGCTTTATATAGTTGCGTGTCCTGCATAATATTAAGAACGTAACGCGTTTTATGGCACGGCCACCCAGGATGCGTTTCTCTGTCTCTTCTCTTTGCACCGATATAACGCTCGGACTGATTGCCCGTAAAAACCTCCACCTATTGATGATTCTATACGATTCACCAGGACTAAATTATCCTCGATCGCGATTATCTCGACGAATAACTCCCCTTGTCAATGTTTATCACCAGCGTAATTTATTACGTGGATATTACTCTGTAAATGTCGAATCCTTCGAGCCTAATCTACCCTTACGATTTTTATCGCGAGAGCAATTTTCTGTTACAAGGCGAAGCGGATATTATCTTGTAAATATCGAATTCTTCAGTCACGCTTGGTGGATCGTTTCAGTTTTACTAGCCTTAGGGAGAGAAGGATCTGTTTAACGTGGGAACTTGTGATAGAAGAGTATCGTACGATTCGAGGAGAAGTACTCTTGTTCAGTTAAATCTAATTGTCGAGCGCGAATTATCTCTGATCAGTGGAAAGAACGATTTACCTCGTGATTTTTATGACGAGCGCGATTTTCTATTACAAGTCAAGATATTATCCCGCAAATGTCTGATCTCTCAGCCACGCTTGATCGTTTCAGTTTTATCAGTCTAATGGAGAAGAAGAATATCATACATTTCTAAAAGAATCATCTCTATTCGATTAATACCTGAAATTGTTGCAATATTCTCCACATTTCTACACGTTCCATACTTCTTCCCGCTCCGTCACGGAGCAGAGACGCAAAACACAGCGACTCGAGGTAAGACGACAGTAAAGGAAATAGTAAATCTCGCCGGAAGAGCAAAGTTCCATCATAGGCTACTCTACAAAGTGACTCTTCCATTCTTCCCACGTCGGAGGATACGTTAAAATACGCTGCATTACACGTTGCCTGTGGTTCGTACGCGCAGCTAGAATTGCACTTTTATCTATTCACTTAACATCGTGCTGGTTCTGTGGCTCGACCACCCAAGGTGTTCGTTCGCTGCTGTCGCGTAAGGCACACACAACCGAAGACGAGACGTTTCTCAAGGTTTTCACGTATCACGAATGGCGTTGACAATCGTCGGAGCGATCGATATACGAGCGAGGTGAACGGTAGAGAGAGACGATAGACGCCGGGGAACGGTCGGACGCGACCCGTAGGAGGTCCTCCATTTCGATTCCTCGTCCTGAGGATCTTGTCCTGGGAAAGCCATAAAAGGTGATCAAGTCGTGCTGATCCAGAGAGATCGGCCGTGCCACGTAGCTCGTACGTCGCACGAAAACGTGAAAAAAATTTGCCGCCTCGTTCAGGACGCGAGGACGGGTCTTTTAAATTCGAGGGGGGACCGCGTTCCTCGCGGTTCCACGGGGCAAATAATCGTGGAATCGCAATGGAAAATCGTCCAACCTGATCCCCGCCATCCCTTAATATCTCGTTAAATCCGTTTTTTTTCTTTTCCTCTCCTCGAATTCCACCTTTTTATTTGTCATTCGGAGCTTCGAGCGGGGATTTCGAGTAATAATACTTGGACGAGATAAAAAAGACGTTTAATTTGCAGACGTTAGCTGGATACGGGACGATTATATTTCTACCCTGCTATTAACCCTTTGCCTTGGCATTTTCTTTGCTGACTGTGCGTCTAAGCGTGGGATATTTCATGCTTTCATGCTGATTAATTACGTTTGGTGATCTTCAGTTTTACGAGTTGAAACGAGAGTTGGAATTGAAATAATCGTTGTTATAAAGCAAGAGGTTAAAATTAAGCTTCGAAGCCTAAAAATGAATTCGTTCATAAGGGGATAATTCACTGACAATAATATCACTTGTCTTCAGACTTTCTCGCATTCCACGGAAGATCCTGCAGGGGAAAAGGAAGAAGAAAAAAAAGAACAGAAAGAAGGAAGAAAAGCGAACACGACAGTGGGTGGATGTAAGAGGACGGCGACAAAGGTGCAACAATTACTTTATTTTGACTTTGCGGCCGGCTTTGTGGACGGTTGAATCGGCCCGCGCACCTTTGTTCACCACCAGGGCTCCGTGTCGAACGTGAAAACGCGGCAAAAGGGGCACCCGCGGCGCATTTACCTGTTTCGTACCTGTCAACCGCGCCGGAAGATCACGCCGATCTCCCGTATCGCGACAAATGGTCTTAGACGGACGGTCGCTTTACGGCCGCGCCGAATTCTATGCCACCTCGGTGTATACACAGCCGGAGTTGAAGGCCGAGTCATCTCGAAAACCCCTTGGAATCTCCGTTTCCTCCATTCGGATCACGCAACGTTTGCAAACAATCCGCTACGCGGAGATTTATGGCGTGCAGGATGCTCGACGTGCTCTCCCGCATTTTTCCAAGCGGAAGACGTTCCTCGAAAGGGTGAAATCGCGGGAAAAATTGGGAAAATTAAAGAGCTAGCTGGAGAGATCCTTCTTTTTTTTTTATTAACGAACAGTGGTTTGGTTGAGAATTATCTATTTTTCGCATGCTGAATTATAGATATTGAAGCGTTTGATCTCGAATGTATTGAAAACATTAATTCCCAAGAATCGTAGGAATGTTAATTCTCGCAGAATCGTCCAAAGTACGAAGATTGGTTCCTCGTGACAGCTTCTTTTCTGTTTAACCAGGGTAAAGGAAGTTAAAGTATCGGTATTCGTAAGAGGTTGGTTTATGGGAACAAGTTGAATGTTTCACGTTGGTCAAAAGGTTGAATGCATCTGTAATTTGGCCGGATTCTTTAAGTGGCCGGTCGCGTTTGAACGGAGGCAGTGAAATTCCGGCGTGGAATTCGTGGCAACGTGAAACGCGGTAAAGGATCGTTTCAAATGGAAATTCGTGAAGCCGATACCGAGTCGATTTTCATGCTTTTCACGTGAACAGAAATCCGTGGTTCGGTGGAATTAAACGAAACGTGTGACGCTGAAAAATCGACTCCGGGCCTGTTTTGCAACTGAATGATCCAATTTCGAGGGTGGCGAGTTCGTTCCGCCTGCATCTGGCGGTTTTAAGCCTAACAATCGATTCGATGAAGATTTATGTCCTCGAAATTCGTCCTATTGTAAGAAACCGAAAGAACTACCTTTAAAAGAATTACCAAATTAAAGATACGAAGATTTCAATTGCCATTTCCCCGGGAGAAAATCTTCAAGGAAGATCTCCGCGAAAGATAATAAAATTTCAAGAGCGCATCTGTACGTTTTTTGTGAAAAAGCACACGATGTAGAGGAGAATCGAAGTAAAAATCTGTGGAGATCACGTGAGAATTATGGAGGAACGTCTCTGGTCAGGTCCTGCTTTGCACTTGAATGACCCAATTTCGTTGCTCGATGTCGCGGCTCGTTCGCAAGAAAACGATCCCATTTGTGTCTCTCAGGCCTGTTCTCCTTTGCAAATGAATGGAAAAGCACGTCGTCTCGAGCACACTGATTTTCCGCCGCGACAATCTCGTTGACTTTTTGTCACGACTCCCTCATTGTGAACCAACAGTGCGAGCACATTCGAGCCCTTTTCGGGGCCCTTCTCACAATGCAATTATGCGAGGGTTCTACGAGCCGTTTCGTAAGATTTCTCCTCTCCTCCTTTCTCTCTCTCTCTCTCTCGAGGTGATCGTGTTATGGTAAACGAGCCGTTTAAAAGTCGTTTTCTTCGTGCGACTCGATCGATGTACCGTGGCCTTTTTTGTGTTTCGGAAACCAGACGTGAAAAGAGGTGTTCTTCCGTGAAACGAAAGGATCTCTCTGACTGTGTAACGACACGAGAGGAAGGTTCACAGAGGATCAATTGGATCGATGTTATCGACAGCGGAACGTTTAAACGATCGTTCCATTTCTTTCGAACGTGTAAAATGGAAAATAGATGACGTTCTCGTCGTCCGGAATATCAATTACAATACAAAAACCATGAAAATTATTTCAAGTATTTGTTGAACCATGTTTGAAAATGTAGAAAGGAGAAATAGTGCCTTTGGTAAAAAATAGAAACGATGGAACCATGTTTCACCACCGTAACCGAAGGATTTGTTAAACTGGAAGGCTCGAAACGTTGACGTGGATGGCACGTAACCTAATCGACGCTTTATTTTTTAACCATCATTTTTATCGGTGTCACGCGAATTAAAAGCAGCATGATCAGTGGATTTGTGATTATTCTTCGTTACTAGGAATCAAAAAAAGGATGCTGCGCGCATACTTTCCCAACAACCTCAAATTCCATCGGTAATCAGCCGCAGGACAGTCGTTATCAGACGGCGATTAGATCGCCAACAGAGACCTGCAACGTGAGAAAGTGCAAATACGCGAAATCGCAGGCACACCACGAATTCTGCAGCACTCAGAGACTCCTCGACAAGATTCAGTACCTGAAGAAGAACATCCAGGACTTGGAAACCTCTCAGCGACAGTTCAGAGAAGTAAACCTGATAAATTGAACGAATTGTAATATTTTTAACGAGACAAGATTCGCGAATTTTAATCGATACTTGGTAGAGAGGAACAGAGAAGAAAGATGTGCCCAGTCAAACGATAGATTGCAGGCTACCGGATTTAAGCAACGTTCGAGGGATCGTGAACAATTGCATCACCGAGATGACGAAGTTGAAGGAATTTCTAGACGACGAGAATTGTTGGTGGAAGATGTTCAAGAAGAGAGAGTTCAACTGTTGCGAACAGAAACTGCCACATCTGCATGGGTTTCTCGATGGAACTATGGTCACCTTGAAGATGCTCGAGGAAACTCTCGAAGTATGAAATTTTTATAAATTATTCACAGAAATGAATGTTTAAATGTATTTTTATATCAGCCTGGTCGCAATCCTGCAACTTCCACGCCAACAAAGTCTAACTCTCTGACATATTTCGGATCTAATAAGCCAAGTGATCAGAAAAAGAAATACGGGGAACAATACACCGATAACATCGAGAATTATCCTAAAAGATTCGTGGATTCTGCTATCAGTCCTGGCCAGAGCATCGAATTTGCGAAGAAAACGTAAGGATTTAATTTCGACAATTTTTGTAAAGTTTTACAATTTTATTGATTTCTTTAGAATGGATGAATCCTGCCAAGATCGATGTCCAATGTCCTGCGCGATTGGGAAACACAGCACTCCAATTCCTGGAACCTCGAAACCTCCAGATTTAGAAAAATCAGTAAAGATATCAGAAATACCATCTATATCTGAAGCCTTGAATCTCGACAGTTTCGGTAAATTTCAACGAAAATATTCCTGTTTTTGTGGATAATAAAATACGTATAAAAATGTATGCACGAATTTTTAGCAACAATATCTAAACACGAGTGGATGAGTAGAAGTTCTGTAGATCTTAGACAAGGAACGAGGCCATCGTACACATTCAGCGGTGAAAATATGGCGAGGAAGCACATTATCGCAGCCGATATTGGCACTTCGATGGATTTGCAACCGGTAGAATTGTAAATTAGTCGTTTGAAAAATAATCATACGTTCGATACTTTTTGCAGAGTGTTCAATACAAGAATCTGGTAGCTTCGCCTAAGAGTTTCAAAAGCACAGCTGAGAAGAGCTCGTTAAATCCGGTGAAATCGTTCCTAAGATTTCCGAGATCGAAGGCCAAGAAAGAGGGGGAGTGAAATAAAAATGTTCAAGAAAATCGACGTTCGCGTGTTTCAATGGCGTTATCCTATTCGTTTCACTTTGACGTGGCAAATTTTAGTATCGTTTTTCCAATTTTCCCTTTGTCGCAACATGCTGCCGTTTCTAATCACGCGAATCATTGGATAATTTGTGCCGCAAGCTTCTCAAACCACTTCGAAGCTTGAAGAAAGCGCTGAAAAGAATACCAGCGTTGAACAAGAAAGAGGTTGGCGCGCAAAATTTTTTCATTCGCGTAAATTCGTGTAAATTTCATTCTCAGTTGGTATAAAAAATACGGAGCTTTCTAAAATTCGAGCTAACATTCTTCGTAAACGTTAATTTATCGAGGAATGCGAAAGAGTGGTGATAGTGGCCAGATGTCCAGCGTCTTCGAACGGTGAAAATCTGAAAATGGGTACGAAAACAATCTTGATATTTCGCGAGTGTGCAATCGTCAGACAGCCGCTGCCGACTCCGACCAGTTCACGCGAGAGCACGTCGAGCACCGAGAGTGACGACTGATCTGAATATTCTTCGGAAAAAACTCGAAGAACCGGGAAACATCGGGAAAAGAAATTCATCGTCACTGGGGAATTGAAAGAAAATTGCGATGTTAAGGTATTCCGGAATTCGTTGGAAGTATTCGCAGAATGAGTTTGGGCATGAATGAGACGAGGATGAATGAAGGGGAAGAGGTAAAAAGGTGGCGAAATAAGCGGTCAAGTTTTGCAGACAAAAGGGCTGATCTCGTTAAATAAGGGAATGCAGAAAGAGGCAGCGAACGAGGAGGAAACAAACGGCAAGAACGGAATACTGAAAAGGTGGCAGTCGTCGAACGCAAAGGAGAACAAGCAAGAATCCGCTACTTTGCACGACGTGAATAGCTACGAGGCAATGGCTTCCGGTCGGTCAGTTGGCAGTCCAGCTCCCGAGGGAATCGAGCAATTATCGAAGCCAAAGGAAACCACGGAGAGCCTTTATAAGGTGAGATGCGACAAAAATTCGGGGGATTTCACGATGAGATTCAAGTCGTCGCCGTTCCCTCGACGCGGTTGTTCCAAGAATTGCACGGGGATCAATAGAGATCTGGACAATTCGAGGTATTTATCTCATTTTTTTTTTAATCGACGAGAGTTCCAAAATGACGATAAACCACGTCGAGTGACGTTTCAGTTTCACATTGACAATGTGCACGTCGTCGAAGAGGGACAAACTGGCGAACAGGATAAAGAGGAGCAAGAAGAAGCTTCAGCAATTGTCGGATCAAGTGAAAGTGAGAATAAAACAATTGTAACGATGTACATGTAGATATTAATTAGACACAGCGTGCTTCTTCGTGTATTCATAGACTAGAACGAAGAAGTCCATGAAACAGGTCAAGAAAATGTACCAGAATATGGGAGCGAAACGTGCAGTGGGGTACGAATGTGATCTGCAGAAATGTCCGAGTACTCTGATGGACTGCAGCGAGACTCCTTGCGTGAAACCTAATATGCTGTTCAGCAAGTTTCACAAGCTGAAGGAGAAGATCATGAATAGTAAGGACGAGGCGCCACGCAGGGTTCGTAACGTGGAAATACGCGGCGAAGGGACGAAGGAGTTGAAGGTGCTGAAGGACCAATCGGTGGGCACGAACGCGGACAAGGAAACGAGCACTTGAAACTTGTACATTTTAATTTCGTCACTGCTTCGATTCACAAGGTGGCTTCGTAAAAAAATTAGAAAAAAAAGAGTAAAATAAATAGAAAAATAAATTCGTACTCCAAACTGAAGAAATGCAATTAAATTTATTTTATAATATGACCAAGTATTCTGACTTTTTCACTTCATCAGGATTCATAAAGCATAAAGACTTCTTCCGTAAGGACACAGCTCACACCTGGAAGCCTCATCATGAAAGCCTCAAATGTTTGAACAATCTATCAAATCTTTGATATATCTTCTTTTTTCAATTATCCAAGTGTTGAATAATTTATGTCACACTCCTCCTCCATCTTACCCGAGTAATTTCCACTCAAGGACAAAGAACCACCTAAACACAAAATGAATCAGCTCAAAATTGCTCGAGAACTTGCTCATCCCAGCCAAATACTCCTAGAAAGCGCGACAGAGAGGAAGCAAGAGGTGCGAAAAGCACCTGGCGAATTAATAAAGTGGTACTTAGTCGAGGGTGTCGTTTCCGGCCATCCTCGCCTCTTAGCTTTTCTGCCATTCGTCGTCCATTACGTATTTAGCCTGGCGTAATAAGCGATCGTCCCGGGGGATCGGGGTAATCAGCGGGGAATCAATTTGTCGACGGAAAGTCGGCGAGATTGACGAGCGAGATAATCGTGGATCGCGGCGTCGAGGAATATCGCCGCGTTTCGAACGTCTTCAGGCCGATGATTCGATAATTCGCCCAGTTGCCCACCGATGTACATGTACAACTATACTACGGTTACAGTGTAGCGCGGTATACCTATAACGAATGGAAAAATAAACGAAAACGCAGAAGATTGTGGCTGGTTTGTGCACATCCTCCGTCGAGTTTGCGAGCGGCGGCGGCTCTCGATGCGCTCCTTTAGTTACGTGGGCGCTAAGCAGCGATATATCACCAGCATACGGTATATTCACCAGGCAAATCGACTTTTATTGCTTTATAGCGGCCGTAAGGTTGCCGCTACGTTCCCTAGCTACACGCACGTGTAATCTGAATGTAAGAAGCTCGTTATTACGGCGGGACCATTCACCGAGCGACTTCCTCTTAACGATTGACGCCACGTCGTAATGGCTGGTCCCAGCCTGGACACGGGATTAGCTGTCTCAGCTTGACGACGTTATCGTTACTTTTCCTTCTTTTCTTCTTTTCTCATTTTCTTCTTTCATCCCGTCGTCGACATTATTCACAACGCGTCCCCTAAGAGAATTTGAGAAATTGCTGCGGGAACGTGTAAACGGGTTTGCCGAGAGGTCAATTGGTTTGGTGGATTTAATTAGCGACGCACACTAGCTTCTATTCGATTCTTCGTCGAGTTTTCTGTTATTAAACGCAGGAAGAGATAACGTATAGATAATCGGTGACAAGATAATACGAGGATCGTTCTGCGATGCAAGGTTTCGCCTGAATTTCTTGAAACTGAGAGCAGGTATCGGGGTGACACTTAGATTAACAATTAAGGATCGCTGTTGCGTAGGAAAGATACTTTATCAGAACCGGCGGAACGGATGATGATACAGAGAGTGACTCGAGGATGGAAAATAGGGCTACTTGAGGGTTTGGGGAAGATGAACTTTGGGTTATGACTGTGTAGGAGAGTTGAGAGGAGATTTGAGAGATGAAAGTTGGTGACAAGTTGTGGATGCAGATAAGACTAAGACTAAGCCTAAGAAAGAAAATATTTGAGAGTATACCAGTTCGATACATCGTATTTGAGATCAGTGGGGCTTGCTAAATTTAATTGCCGATGCTAGCTGCTGTTTTAATTCTTCGCCGAGTTTCCTGTTGTTAAAAACAGGAAGGGGAAACATAAACTTGTTGACAAGAAAGAACTCTTCTCTTCTCCCTATTTCTTTCTTCGTTGAACGAGCTGTTGAACGACCGCTCAATCCCCGTGATTAACCTCCGGACAGACCCTGTCGAGGACAATTTTCCACAATCGCGAGTTCGTTTAACCAGCACCCTCCTCTGGTACTCGTATCACGAACACTGTTACACCAGTAAATACGCACGAGTGTGGCACGAGGATCGAAGCAACTCACGAATGGCGTGTTTTCCTTATTGGCTGATTGAATAATACATGGTACCGAATAGTATTAGAGCGGCGGAGCGCGACACGCGATGCCCATGACGCCTGTCATGTCGTGCGGGTCATGTGTCACGATTTTGACGAGTTGTTTAGCCCGGCCGATTTATCGACCGGGATGTGGCCGCGCGTGTACGCATACGATCCGCTCTCCTGCCTCTCGTTCGCCATGCTCCAACGATTAATGACACCAATGGAGATAAGCCACTCGGGATTTATGGGGAATTTTCTATGGTGATGAATTATATTCCACGATACCCGAGATTTATGCACTTCCAGGCTGATCGCCGAAAGAATTGGATTGTTGTTTAATTTGCGATCCGGAGGGTTAATTATTGCGTTGGAAAGATTTCCGCGTGCAACGAAACTTGATTTCAAACTTTATTGGAGGAGGATTTCTAAGGTTCTAGAATATAGAAGGTTTAAGGTCGAAAATTCGCGACGTTTATTCTCTCGCTTGAGACGAAACGCTTTAACCCTTTCGCTGTGGCAGAGTTTAGTGCGCGGCGACCGCAAAATCTTTCGTTTCGTATTTGATTAAATTAAGGTGGGAGTGTATGAAGCGCAGAAATTAATTAGGACGGAAAAAGGAGCAAATTTTCAAAGCGCCAACAGTAGTGAAAAGGTTAATACCAAAATTATCTAAATCCTTCCCCCAAGCACGCAAAATGAGAACTGATTAAAAATAACGCAGCAAGGTCTGCGCATAAACGCCAACATGGCGTCAAAACGTTCGTACCGTCCTCTCGAAACGAGGAGAAGAACAAGGGAGGCGGTATCTCGACACGGGGCAAACAGGCTGTCCACAGCATAAATCACAATGAAACGCATGGCTCATTATACTTGTAGGCACTCGTGTAATTGCGACGGGCGTGTCCACGCGTATTTACCCGTGCAGATCCGGCGTTTCGGTGCGCGCGACCGTGCCTGTCGTCGATGTATCGCCGTACGACAAACGAATTCGGTGTCTTATCGCCAGCCGGAAATACCTGACCGGATATGGGCGTAACGTGTGCCTCGAGAACGGTCCCGAAATACACCTTTTCATTAGCAACATTTTGACTCACCGTGACGACCATGTTGTCCACCCTCGAATCCCAAAATTTCTGCCAGCAGATGCCTTGATTTTTCCGTGAGAAATTCGGAAGCCCAACGTAGGTGATTACTGGACGAACGAAATCTGGAAAAACCAACGAATCCACCTAAATTTTACC